TTGCAGAAATGCCTTATGTGTATTACCCATTTCGTCACACAGAATATTAAACAGGCGTAACCAGGGTGGAGATTTAATAATGGTAATAATTTTTCCTGTTTGATCAACAACATTCTGGCTTTTTTTTTTCCTTTTTTAACTGCAAGTGTGTGATGGTTCATGAACAGTATAATGACGACGAGTACAATTTGGTGCCACTGCCTGATTCATGCTAGGGTGTCAGCAGTTTTACCCATCACTGCTTTTGCAGCATCGATGCAAATGTCATGCAGTGGAAAAGGCAAAATAACATCTTAGTGTTATTATGAAAATAGTTTTGACCCTGAACGGATGTTGGGCACTTAAGAGGGGTCCATCAACCCATTACACTTTAAGAATCACGGTACCAGACAGACTACAACAGAATTTTTAAAAATTTTAAAAAGAATCAACTACCTCACATTAAATAAGGGTAAAAATTACTTCACAAAACTTATTTTAGTCACATATGTACAGATAAATATTTAACTATGTACTAGGCTGTCATATAAATGGATCTCTTATCATGGGCCATGGTCAAAAAAGCTTGCAAAACACTCTTCTAGCCCATAGCAATTACTCCCTTCTTAAAACTGCTATAGCATTTACTGAGTTGAGCACTTGAGTTTATTCCACTACAGACTAATCTCTAAATGCATTACATACATGCCTATGCCTCCTATTTCCAAAGAGATCACAAGCTCTCAAACTACATCTTATGCATACATCTTTGTATATTCCCCCAATGATACTAGATATATCACAGGTTCTAAAAAAAAAAAAAAAAGTATTGAATTTCCTCATCAGTGTATTATTGGCCCAAGAAGCAATCTGTCTGTGGCATACTAAGCCCACAAGAACATCCTAGTTTTGACAGGTCACGAATAATTCCATGTATAGTGAGACACAGAGGGGAACATACAGTCGTTGGTATCACACTGACCTGAGAGATGTCCTTGACACTTACTAGCTCCATGATCACAGCATGTCACAAATTCTTCACCTTCTAAATGAGGACATGACCTACCTCATAGGGCTGTTCCAAGGATTAAGTGAGATAATACATGCAAAGTGACTTGTACAGTACCAATTCCTTAATGAGGCAGCACTACTAAAGAAGAGTAATGATAATAAGACACCATGCCTTATTCATACAAACCACTTCACCACATACAGAACATACGCAGGTCCAACAACGAACGACAGGATCACAGATTTCGAGGGAACTCCATAGGTCATCTCATTCTAAACCAGCTCCTTTACCTGCACTCTCCTCACCTTGGCCCACACTCACACACAGAGACAGACCTTACAGATAAGAAAACCACATCGCACAAAGCTCTAAGTATCTTTCTCACGGTTCTAGAGCCAGTGAGGGGCAGAACTCAGTGTCAAACCAGCCTCTCATTCATAACGATTCTGCTAAATTCTTCCTTTTTGATTGATAAGGGAAACTCAGGGTCAGACTTACTGAGGCTCAATGACATGTCCAAGGTCTCATAGGCAATAAGTCCCAAAGTGGCATGGAACCCAAGACTTCAATTGCAAATTTGGGGATCTTCCAACTATAACTTAGAAGGCTATCAAAGAACATGAAATTCACTTTGTGCAAACATTGATAATTATTGCATCCAGATCTGACTAGAATAACTGACATGGTTATGTGAATACTTATTATAACTAAGTATGCCAATTGATAACCACCAACAAATTAGTTTTATGTTGTGATATTCAATTCAAACTGATGTTTCACTGAACTTCACAAGCTTTGGCATTAAAAAAAAAAAAGATACCTCTTCATTAGCCTCATTAAAGTACAAAGGAAATATATCCCAAAGGATAATGCTACAATGTTCAAAAAAATCCCTCTGAGATAGGCTAACACGCTGAGTATATCACAGTCTTAATTTAAATTAACACTTTTACCAAAGAGGTCAATTTAGACGAAATAAATTTTATTTTAAGTGGCGTGTATTAGCTATTTCAATTTCGCTTCTGTAAGAGTCTCATCACTCCCACTGCTATTCAACTCGATGTCAAACCAGCTCTGTTGCTCATTAGCAGAGTGACTTAGGGCAAGTCACTCAACCTTTGTGATCTGTACAACACATGTGACTGTGCCTGGACGTTGCAGGGATGTTAGGTAAGATTAGGCACAATGAACAAAAAACACGTAGGAGTGTACCTACCCTACAGAAGAAAGCTATTGTTATAACAATTTCTGTTATATGTTTTGAGTTCACAATTCTGTCTTATCCCTTAGTCCCCTAAGACTTGTATGATTGAGTGAAAATGGACCTTTCTATTTCCTACCCCTGCTGTTGCTTCCAATCCCTACCAGCTACACTGCCAATCCTCAGACCTAAACTGTCTGCCATCGACTTCTGATGTCCCACAGCAAGTCCCTGAATTTGCTTTTATTGTATTAATTCCCTGGTCAGAAAAAAAAATGAATACTCATTACTTATCAATTCAATGATCTTCTGATAATTGCGTGCTAATTCTTGCTTGGAGCAAGTCTAAAAGATTTCATATGAAACCCTCTGAATTTATTTAGGGTTCTTTTTCTTCCAATACCAATTTTTTAAAAATACAAACTTAATTGTTTTAAACATGTGGTCAGCTATTAAACTTGCTAACAGAGCTGCCTCTCTCAGATCTCATCAGACCTTGATTCCTGTACCAGCTCAATATTCAACTCCTATAGTTCGTCCAGCCCTCTTGGATAACAATCTCCATTAAGTAAAAGGCACTTTGTAGAAATGGGCAGCAAAGAAAATTATACATGTACTTCTCTGTAGTACAATTAGAGGTCAAGATGGCTGGGAGAAGGGCAAGAGGCAAGGAACGCACACAGACTGGATGGTAGTGGGTGTCCACTGGCGGCCTTTTCTGAGGAGGCAGAACTATACAGATGATCACTGAAAGGCTGAAGGGGAGAAAGGCGCTAGTATATGTAGGCACTGCAGTATTCTAGGTACTTTATACACATTAGTTCATGGTCTAGGTATTACTTCCATTGTCAGGTAAGGAGCGGAGACTCAGAAAGATGAAATGACTGGACCAAGGCCAAACAGCTAGTACTGTGCCCTTTCCACTCCATGGGACACAGTGACTTAGTCCGGAGAGGCCTTTGTCCCCAGGCCAAGCAACAGGGAAAGTAAGCAAGCGCATGCTCACCTACACACCAGCTTAGCCAGACCTTCCTCTTCCACCAATGGGAATAACCGAGAGGTGATGCATCTTTGACCTGCAGTTAGCACCCAATTACTCCCCTTGCTAGGAGAAAAGCAGTGTTTCTTAAATGTTAACCTGCATACAGGTCACTGTAGGGGATCTTATTAAAAATGCAGATTCGGGTTCAGTGGGTTTGGGGTGGCCCCTGAGATTCTGCATTTCTAACAAGCTCCCAGGAGACAATGCAGCTGCCAGTGCTGGGGCCATACTCAAAATAGACTATACTCAGTAACGGTTCCCAAATGTGGCTGAGCATCAGAACCATCTGGAAATCATTTAAACACTACAGATTCCTGGGCCCCTCCTTCCAAGGCGTTCAGTGGTGTCTGGGATCTCCTACCTCATAATTCTGTAATTCAAAGAAATGTATCATTAAAGACAATAACCAAAGTAAGCATTGACTGAGAACATACCAAATGTCTCGGTGCCTACCAGCCCCCACCACCACACTGCACGGCTGGTACTCACAGCACCATCATTCCTACTTTACACTCGTCCACGCGGAAACTAACGCACCAAGGGACGGTTCCCTGCCCAAGGTTAGTCAGGGAGTCGCAGAACAGGGGTTCCGACTGGAGCCAACCTGGTTCCAAAGAGTCTGTGCTCCCAGACACACGCATAGCCCTGCTGCCCACATTCCCCAATGGTCATGTCACTGATTATAACAGACATGTTTGAACAAATCTATCCAAATGGGTCACCTCAGAAGATGTCTCCCTGGGTAGGTTATGTTCTTATTCCTCAGATGCCGCCATCATTCAAAACCCCGCCATTGCTAAACTAAATACTCTAAGAGCTCTTGCTCTGAAAATGAAAATGCCTTCAGAAGCTAAATCTACAACTTTAAATATCTTAACTGGGATAAAAGCTCATCATTTGCGCATAGATTTGACTTCTGACAATCCTGCACCAGGAAAAGCCAATTCAAAGAAGCCTTAGTGTCTGATCAGGTAAGGTATTTTTTAAAATAAAAAAATCCAGTGTTAGGTACTGAAAATGTTTTCCTCATCACTCATCTCTCAAACCGATTCCAAATGAGAAGTCTATGTTTTGCTGTGTCACCAGAGCCAAAGTGACTATTTTCAAGGGCAGAACTAACTCATTTGGATGCACAGATTCTGTTATATTTGTTTCAAAGGAAATTTAGCCTCACAGTCATTCTAAAAGAACCACGTTTGCCCTTCACAATCAGTACGGACACGCACACTTATGTTCACAACGGCTGTCTTGAAGCACGCAGTCTTCCCTTCTGCCGCAAAAACAACTGCTCTGTTTTTCTTTCAGATCTTTCTCATAAAAAGTGTGTTTGCTGTACACACATCCATTCATAGAAAAATAAACATGATAATCAGGTATTAATGAAGCATTGAACTGCATGCAGCACCATAAAAAGCATCACACAAAGGCAACTGTATATCCAAAATGTATGCACAAATACCCTCACATACAAGGGATAAAGGCACAAGCAAATACTACAGGAATATAACTGTAAAAAGACATTATATTCCACACCTAGATTTGCTCCTTTGTTAAATGAATACGTCCTTTTTCAACAAAGAAAACATTCTGCAAATTCAGAATGCTTTACAGATTTTTAAAAAGCAGGCATTAATGCAGATCAGCACAATTCCACACAACCAACCTCTCTGCTTGAACTGGACTCCCCACACCTTACTGAAGCCACAAATTCCCCTGCACAAACTCCCACTCCACCCCCCCCCACGCACACCCAACTCCCCACCAACCTCACAGGGGTTCCTGGGCTGGTCCATGGAATCTGATGACATCACTCTCTCTTCCTTCCTGGAATTCTAAACCCTGCTGCTCTCCCCTTGCACACAGCTACCATCTCCATGGCAACCTCACCTCCTCCTGCTTCCCTATTGGCTTCACAGAGCAGGATACACAAAAAGGTTTTCCGTTTTCCCCCACCACCCGCCCCAAAAAAATGATGCTTTCAACAGGAACCTGGGCTAAATTTAGCTACTTGGGACTCAGAGTCCTATGACTAATGAAACACAGAGAAATGTCCTCCTGCCTACAGTTCATCCTCCTCTCAAGCCCACCCCAAAGTGGCTGCTTCACCGCCTTCTCTCTGGCCCCCAACCCAAAAACAGTATCTGCTGAGCTGGAATGCCCCCATATAAGACTGGCACACACAAAAATTCTCACACCCACCTTTCCTCCCAACGAGAGAACAAAAATTTAAGTATGCACCGGTCAAAAAACATCTGATGTGCCGAGCATGTCTTCTGCAGCTTCCTTCCATCCCAAGTCATGCCTAAAGGCACAACGGTCTCTAACTTCTTAAAAGACCGATTCTCTAGCAATCTGCTTGGTAATATTTCCTCTACCAGAAGGGAAAAGAGGAGAGAAGTGAGGGAGAAAGACGGCATACTTCAGTGACCAAACACGCTAAGCCTGGAACAACAAATCCTGGGTCCAATTTTCCATCCCAGGGGCTGACCTGCTACGTAAATTGGAGCAAGTTCTCACATCCCTTCATCTAAAAAGCAGCTCCCACACAGGGATGCTGTAAGAATTACTGACAAAATTAATGTAAAGTAGTTTAAGTCCCTGGGCCAAAGGGACTGAATAAATAGAGAGTAAGCTGACATCATTAGCAGTGAAATTCCTGTGGATATTAACAGAAATTAATAATCCGCAGAGGGAGAACATGAACTTGCAGAAAAGTATCCTTGATTAAGCACAGATATACCATAAGATATGCATAATGTCTTGAACCATAGACAATTCCTTAAAAGGTGCATACTTCTAGAATAATCCAGCCTCATACACCAGCCAATTTTTGACTACTTACCAATTTTGGAGCTGGCCCTGTTTTTTCTTTGCTTAGTCCTGACTCAAATTTTGAAATTGCTACTCACTCTCCCTAAATGATGACTGAATATGGACCAGGGCTTCGTTTCCCAGTTCAGCTGCCCACCTCCCATTCTAGGGGAGGAATTTTTTTCTCAGAGCCATATGTGATAGCTGAACACTGAATCAACCAAGCAGCTATGTCCTATATGACTTTAAAGGACAAAGCATCAATTGTAACCAAGTAGGAAAGGCTCCAAGGAGGTCAGAGCCTTGTAGTATGAAAGGGAGTGGATTAAAATAAGAAACACCCGGGAAAACTGTATTTTCCATTTGCAGGGCAAAGACTCAGCTCCAGGGCACCAGCTCTCCAGTGAAAAAAATAGACATGAACAGAAAATGACTTAGTGTAATAAGAAATAGTCACTTACCGCAAACAGAATTTAAACAATTTGGAACATTTAGCAAAGTCAAAATGTCCCACTAGCTAACACACAGGCATCCAAAATAAGCTTCACAACTGCTATGAGAAAACACACCCAAAGATGCAGTTTGCTAGTAAACAGCTGAAAGTCACATTCTGGAGGGATGGAGGGGAGCAAGGGACTCAGTCTGATTAGCCCATCTCTGAGCTACGTGCTTTCTTATCTTACCCCTTGTGGACTCCTAACAAGCCATTCCTCGTGTGAAACCTTTCCTGTGTACCATCGCTGGTCAGAAAGTTCCACAGGCTAACCATGATAAGCACTCTTCCAAAAGACCTTCTAAACGCTTAAAAACAAACAGATCAGTCACCTTATTCTACGGGGGGAAGGCTGAAGCATAGCTTCCAAGAGCAGGTCAATTACTGAGCTTGACTTAGGTTAGTTATTATATCCTTATGAAATCTATCAACAATGGCCTGGACTGAGTGAGCTGCTGCAAATAAAGCCCTAGTTATCTACTCCTGTCGCTCACGTGAGCATTCAGGGCACTTGTGCACCAGAGTTTTCTTATACGGCTTCTCACTACTTCTCAAAAATAAAACCAAAAAACAGCAAGTTGTTTTTATTCTTACTTCACTTTGCAAACGGAGAAACAAGAGTTCTAGAGATGTCAACGTGATCAAGGTTATATAACTCATTTAATATTTTTAAAAGCCAAGATTCAACCCAGATCTGTTTGGACTCCAAAGTCTATGCATTTTCTACTTGGCCTCCAATTTACAGACTGTTGGGGTTGGAAGGAAATATTTAGAAATCATGTTGTATCTGTGTTTTCTTATGTCATCAATAAAACATAGGTTGCTCGACATCAAGGTCAAAGTCATATTTTTTAAGTATCACTTATTTTTTAAGTATTGAACCCTAAGCAGGCACTCAATACTTACTGATTTATTATTCTAATCCAATTATCTTAAACTTCTGGACAAACGGCAATGATTCTACTCAGATCTTTTTAAATTAAAACTGGCTTGAGAAATTAAATGCTGAAGTGAAATGACAAAATTTCAGATAACATATTCTGGAATTTAATTTTATAGTATTTGATATGCACAAAATTATCATTGTCAGAATGCCTACACTGGCCCAGTCATAATGTCCTAATACCTACACAGTCTCATCTGCTGGTTTTAATCCATAAACCCTAGTGCAGTCAGCATCTATACATTAGATTTACAATTTCTAAATTTCTGCAATTAGAACCAGTGCATTTCAAAGTACTTCTCCAGGGATTCCACTAAAATTAAATCAGCTGATTAGAGGACAACACTAAAGCGGCCAAGGTCAAGCGTCTGATACCAATATGAACCAGCTAGCATCACTCTCTCCTACTTCCAACAATAGGTACCGTTGTAAATGCACATCCCTGGTTTTACTGAGAAGTTAATGCAAAATATCACTTCTTTTGAAAAAAATTTAGAACATGTATCTACTGATGTCAAATATTATAACTGGCTTTTATCCTTTAGAAAATAGCTATTGTCTTTCAGAAAATATGGCTATCATTCATCCTTTCTTTCAATATTTATTGATTACCACATGCCAGTTGATAGTCTCAAAAGGCTAGCTGGCACTGGAGGACAAACACAGCTACAATGTGACATGTGCTATAGCAGAGATGTATCAAGGCACAGTGAGCATACAGTAGAGCAGGGATCGACAAACTTTTGAGACAAAGAGCCGCCAGGGGTCAGCAAACTGCAGCTCACGAGCCGCAGGCTCTGAAGTAAAATTGAAAATGAAAATAAAGCTATCATAGTTTCATTTATAAAATCTTTAAAGGATATTATTCACATAATGGTGATTATGTAAAAATATATTTATGGGGCCGGCCGAGTGGCGCGATGGTTAAGAACTCGCTTGGGATGCCAGAGGGCCCCGGTCCGGATCCCACATATGAGGGTCAGTGACACTGCCCTCCACAGCTAAGATGCTGAACAACAGCTCAACCTGGAGCTGGGCTGCCATGAGTCGCCGGCGACGGCGTGGGCTGCAGTCCCTGTGGCAGTGGATTGCCATGGGCTACCGTGTGTGGCCAGCAGCCAGCGTGAGCGGCCGTCCAGAAGCCGGCGACTGATCTGCCTCGCCAGAGAAGAGCGCAATGATGGTGCCAACTTGGGCCAGTGAAGCAACATCCTCCACAACTAGATTGAAGAACAAAACGACAGCAACTTGTCTGTTCCCCTTTCCCCAATTCCCCAGCACTGTTCCCATCCCCCCAATTCCCCAATAAAAATCTTTAAAATATATATATATATATATATATGGCTCTTGAATAATTTTTAAATTGTTGTGAGGGACAGGATTGGCTCTTCCAGGGGTCGGCAAACTTTTGAGACAGAATGTACCCAAAGAGCCACATGTGGCTCGCGAGCCGCAGTTTGCTGACCCCTGCATTAGAGGGAATGGCTGTCTAGAACAGCGGTTCTCAACCTTCCTAATGCAGTTCCCCTTAATACAGTTCCTCATGTTGTGGTGACTCCCAACCATAAAATTATTTTCGTTGCTACTCTATAACTGTAATTTTGCTACTGTTATGAATCGTAATGTAAATATCTTTTTGTTTTCCGATGGTCTTAGGCGGCCCCTGTGAAAGAGTCGTTCGACCCCCAAAGGGGTCACAACCCACAGGTTGAGAACTGCTGCTCTAGAAGGTACGGAGAATGAGCTCCAGTTCACATAGATAAATGAGGCAGGTAAGGGCCTTCCACAGAGAGAAAATGAAAATTACCAAATTATGGTCATCAGACAACATGGCAAACTTAAGAGAATGTTCAAATATTTTACTAAGGTTAGGGTGGAGGCTTGAGAGATATGACCAGCTGAGAGAAGACAAGATCTTCTAGGTTTTCTACCTTATCCAGGTTAGATTTTCCTAAAGCGCCTTACTGTCAGTTAGGTTTCTATAGAGTAAGGGGGGGAAATCTTAACACCATGTGGAGATTTCTCCTCTCTACAGTGTCCATTAAAAGAATAAAGATCAATCAAATGCTTCTGCACAGTACAAGAAACCACTAACAATATGAAAATGCAACCTACGGATTGGGAGAAAATATCTGCAAATCATATTGGGTTGTCGGGAAAGTCATGACATATTTTTCTGTTTTTCAATGCAAAAATGCATCATGACTTTCCCGATGACCCAATATTTCTGATAATGGGTCAATATCCAAAATATATAAATAACTCATACTACTCAATAGCAAAAACAGTCTGATTATAAAATGGGCAGAGGATCAGAATAAACATTTTTCCAAAGAAGAAACAGAGATGGCCAACAGGTACATGAAAGGAGCTCAACGTCACTAATCCTCAATGTTATGCAGTTTAAAACCACAGTGAGATACCACCTCACACTTGTCAGAAAGGCTATTATCAAAAAAACAAGAAAAACCTGAACTGTTGCTAGATGGGAGGGGGTGAGGATGGGGCAGAAAGTGAAGGGATTAGAAAGCACAAATTGGTAGTCACAAAACAGTCATGGGGATATGAAACACAGTATGGGGAATATAATCAACAATGTTGCAAAGACCATGTAAGGT